TTGACTGACTTTACTTGTCTGTTTGACGAGTTGTAGTGTTTTGCTAAAAATGACTGAAGATGCTGCCGAAATGTCTGGAAATGTACCAATTCAATGGTTTGATTCTTGAAATTATGATGCATACTATGGACTCCTGATAGGATGAGTTCCTCCAGGTCCCCCTGCCATTCTGACCAAGTTGCGAAACAACGTCAAATAAATACTATACAACGAAATGTCATCGCGACCACACGATCTTGGTCTTCATATCTTCGATACAGATTTATTCTTAATTTATCCTGTCTACCTCTGTTACTATAGTGACCTTTCCTCCTCGTTTGCTAGGAAAACGGAGCGATCACTGTTACAAAATATTCTACCTTTACTAAAAAAGCACGACTAAAATGTTGTATATTAGGACACCTGATCAACCTTATAACTATTCGGCCATTTACAAAGCATAGCGCGCTTTAAACATGAAAATCTTCTTACAAAGAGGAAGATATAAGGGAATTTTTTCATTTGCCTCCTTCAAACTATTTTTTTTGCCTAAGGAGGTATCAATAAACCGTTTTGATTCTATCACTTATTAGGGTCATTTTGTGATCCATATTATGAAATATTTTTCAAAAAATGCATATTAATTGTTGCACGTTTACAACTCTTTATGGGTTAAATAGTAATAAAATAATATTTTACTAAAATTTACCACCCATTAACTTATCTTACAAGCAAATAATTCACCAGATTCTAACAATTGAATAATTGAGAATTTTGTTCTATATATATACCGACGACTTCTTACTTTATTTTGTCTTCCATTCTCCTTTCTCACTTACCAAGATGCGCCTAATCGGAAGAGTGATAACCCCATTTTCCGTGAAAACACCTGAACTGATCGACCTTGATGAGCGCAATCGTCTTCCTGCCGTCCCTGAAGCCCAGCTACTTGAGGCCACTCAAAGGACTCCCAAGGAGGCTTGGCAGAATGTTAAAGCACCATTTGGGAAGGTTGTTAAACAGGCACCGGATCATGTTGGTTTGCGACCAACCAAGATGAGGCCTCTCCGCCGTTTCTTGCATTCGTGGAACAGAGGACGCTTAATTGGTCGAGGTGTGAATATTTCCTTTTTCCTCTCTCTCCATACAACCCTCTTATAGCTAGTTTCTAACAGTGATATATTTCTATAAATGAAATCACCCTGAATTCCGAGACCCGTCAATCAAAATTAAGCGTTTACTTCTAGTGGCAACGATAAATAAGTTTTTTTTACTTTTTGGTCTACTTGGTCTTTATATCTTTGACTAAAATTACGGTGTTTTTATTTTCACTATTGAAAAGGCTATTGTTGTCTTTGATGATTAACTGGCTTTGATTAAAAATGCCCACGAAACGGGGGAGAATATCGGTGGATTTAACTATTTGCTAACATTAGACGTTGGACTAACTACCATCGTAACTTCTAGCAAACATTGCTTTAACAGAAGGTATGAAGACCAAGATGGTGTGGCCTTTTGTATGGTTTAGTGGACGATTGGTCA